CTGTGTGAATTGGGGGCAGGATCTTGTGATGATATTAAAGGCACATATCTCTCAGATATATACCAAATATTTATGTACCTGTCAGCTGAAAATGAAAGCAAATCTCACTCGTGACAGAAGAGGTATACAACTACGTTATCTTAGGAATACCAGTTCTCTCCAAATATTGATACTTCCAGAGAGTAGAGACGGCAAATGCCACTGAGACTATTGTTCTATTGAAGTAGACATTTAGTCCAGAAAGCTACCATCTGCTTGATTCGGGGTGAACTCCTCCTAATGGGCACATTTTATATGGTGAAGGAACCTTTTACCTGACAAGGAGAATGAAAGCCCTTGGCTCTAACAGTTGTAGGAAGTTCTATCAGCAGACCACAGTTTCACTTTGGAATCTTTAGTTGGCTTGGAAACTGTAAACATAACATGTGACAAGCTTCCTACTTACTGTTCTCTAGGCCCAGGAACAGGCCCTACTTGCCTGTGAGCGATAGGAGAGGAAGATGGCAGGTGAGCAGGCTTTCACTACTCAGTGGTACAGTGGCCACAGGATGAAGGTACTCTTGGCAGATTTGGTTCAGCCCACTGAGGAGGTTATAGGAAAGCCCACAAGCCACAAAAGGGCTGGGCACCATTACAGGGTGCTTTCTATACACGGCCCTACTGTGTTCACATTTTTTTTTTAATTATGGGAGACAATGATTTTTTTTACAGTCTTCTTTGTGCCTCTGCTACACAGTTCCAACTGTTTGATCAATTATCCAAGAGAACCTCACACAAGAACTCCTTTGATATTGACCTTAAGCTAGATTTACTGCTAAAAGCAAAACAAAAAAGCCCAAAAGACAAATTTGTTTGGGCAGTGCTTCCAATCCCCAATTAATCACAAGTGTACTTTTTCTAAACATTCCAGAGACAAACTGACCCTTAACTGTCCACATTTCTACTATTAGTTAAAATTTACATAAAACTGGATCCCAATCAAATGTATTCTAAGGAAGTTACACATCAATCAACCAGGGAGAGAACGGGGAGATAAAAACAACTAAGTCATTTCACTGTCTCTCTGCTTTGGTTGTCCTTAGGCAGTCTGGTTGTCATGGGTCAGTGTGTGGTCACTACACAAAAGAAGCAAGTGCTCCTACCTCAAGGATTTACAAAGGTCTGAACTAAATGGTCACTCTGACACCTGGAGAGGGGGTGACACTGAGAAGAAATTAGTATCTTGTCACAACTTAGCAGTTATTTCACAACTATAATCTACGTAATAGAAGCAAAACAAAGTCTCAGGATAGTTATGTAAAAAAGCTGGCTGCCAAGGAAATTCGTATTGTTCAACTCTGGCCTTGCATCTTGGGAACAGGTAGCTGTAATTTTTCCAGCTATTTGGTCTTTAAGTGAAGTTTTTTTTTTTTTACCTATGGCAGCAGACACAAACTGCTTCCTTCCTTAATGAGTCTGGGTTCACACCAACACAGCTGTGCTAAGGGATATACTGCCTGACTTTAGGGGGAACAACAACAACAACAACAACACACACGCACACACACACACACACACACACACACCTCCCAATGCCAGACATTTAGAGTCAGAGTTCTTCAACATGCACTGGAGATTTCAGGGCTTCAGGGCCACTTGGCTTGAGCAGCTGGAAATGAGAACCCTTTCCTCAATGACTAAGATATCATAAAAGCTGAGAGGTCACACTTTTCTGCCAAAGCAGAACTTGCTTTGACTGTGGAAAGAAAGCAGCAGTGAGTGGCCACAGAGTCACAAGTAACCAGAGAACCCTATCAAACCCTTTCCAAGCTGTGAGACTCCCTTATAGTAGTCAATCCTTTGCTCTGCAAACTGTCACAGAGGGTGAGGGATTACAGGGTGACCCAGGCTTCTCTGCCTCTCAGTTCTTCCTTGCTCAGCAGCAGACTAATGGTGGAGGGCTGCTAGAATACACACACAGGAAGAACAAAACATATGTACACATGAGCTATGGCATATGAATTGCGGAATGCTATTGATTTCAGCTGATGAGTTGAAAGCTTATAGATTTATTATCAAATTAGCACTCTATAATTTAGAATGACAAAAATCAAAGCAAATAATTTAAATTTAACACTCCTTTACTTTGAGTGATGGTAAGTAGCAAACATTGGAAGGCAGTGAAAAAACAGAGAGTGCTTTATACTTAAGGACCTTTCCAGGCACTTTCTCCCTCTCTTGAAAAGGAGTACCACATGCTTGTTCCCCATTGGTCAAGTTAAGTCACGAGCACTGGATCAAGATACATCCAAAGCACTGCTGATGACCTTACCCCTTAGGGGTCTTCACAGGGCTTGTAGGGTATGGTGGCGCCTACACCTCTTGCCTATCCACTGTCTACTGGGCAGCCCTGGATGGACCCTCTAGCATGCTGTTCTAAGATGAGAATTCCGAGGTCCATGTGTCCTGGAACTGTGAGCAGCTTCTTTGGGGGTCACCTAAAATGCCATTGCTATCACAGCTGACTCTTGGGTCCATCACAGGCACCCTCGTGGACCTGCACATGTACAGGAGTCATGTAATATAGATATCTACCTCCCAGAGCACTGAATCTTGGGTCCTCTGCTGAGTGTCACCTGTGCTCCTCTCATTCTCCAATCTCTGCTGAAGTCCGTTCTCCTTGGAGAGGCCCCCTTATCCTGACTCTTGTTCACCCCAACTCTCAGTCTCTCTTGCTCTCAGAAGATAAGGGACCAATTAGCCTGTGCGCTCTTTAGGTGTCATCTAGGTCTCTAAAACCTAGGACTGGGCTCCTAGAGCCCTGCTGTGATGCAGTGGCCCTAGCTTCTAGCACTGGAGTTGGCAGACAGGCCACAGGAACTGTGTGTTTGGTAAATGAAGGCATGCAATTAGCACTCATAATTAGGACTGGTTAGAATAGTCAGTGGTTTTGAAAGTTCAAATATAAGACTATGTCAACGAAGCAGCAAATTACAGACAACAGCTATGACACTGGAGCAGTTCAGATGCTCCCCAAAGCGCACGGAGGACTTCAATGTTCTAGTGAACCCTACAGGAGCAGCTGGCACAAGCTCACACAAACAGCTGTAAAACTCAGTGAGGATGTTTAAAGTACAAAAATCTCCCTTTTCTCTTTCCCATTTCCTCATTTTTATTATATTCCTTATTTCTGACTAGAGTATTAGCAGTTCTGCAGACAGAAATAGCTACATGATCAAAAATTTTTTCTCACATGACCACCACTGTATAAAATTTGTGTAAATCATTTGATTAACTATTTTAGATATTTATTTGATTAACAAATTAATTAATTAAGAGAAAAATATTTAAAACTTTATGATGATCAATATAATAGGTTTTGTTATTATTTTTCCTCTTTATACTAAATTGTCCTCTAAGATATCAAATTGTCTATTTTATGAGCTATTTTTGAGTACTGGCACCCACACTCATGATGTGATTTCCTTGAGGTTTTTAAGGAGATACTGATCATTATCTTTTCAACCCTTAAAAATACTGTTTTCCCTAAATCTGACTGCTCCAAAGGCACATAGCTAAAGTTCAGCAAAATGACAAAACATTTATTTTGTGATCTGTTTGATAAGGGGAGAGGGTGTGACAAGATAAAAAAAATCAAAGTGGACTTTTACAAAATAGGATGTTCTTGTTTTTAAAGGCCCTTTGTTGACTCAGCCCAGTATCCTTGACTGATAGGTGTCTAGCTCATCCCAGGTCATATACCAACTGACAGACCAGTTGTTGGACAGGTCTTTCTCATTTTTGCCAAGAAGGTCCTGTAAGGTTGCAGTTTATGTGAAATATAAACTCCATGCCGGAGGTGGAAACGACAGCAGCTATAGGTTACATCTGGGGTGTTCTGGAAGTCTCTGCAGAGAGTGCTGCTTCCAAACACTCCCCACCAGCCAGGACAAAGCATGAGTGTGTGCTGGAGGGAATAATGCAGCCTGGCCCCAGGGGAGGGACCAGATGGGACCTAATAGCTCTTTTCTACTACTAATTTCTATGATAATTTTAAGTTGCCACATGGCATATGTACTTTTTAAAATCTAAAGGCAGGATATTATTCAACCGAATGACCAATATTTTAATGAAAGGTATGTCACAAACTGTATCTCTTTACATGTTATTTCTCACTCGCCCGCTACCCACTAATAATACGTCACTTACAATCAGGCTGGGAGAAGTCTATGGAGAGGTCAAATAGAATGTGTTTTTAATCATTGTTGATACCAATTAGAAAAAAAGAAATTCTAAGTTTTGTTAGGAAGTTAGATGGTTTTTGCAGTGGTTTTATGAAGTCACTCATCTTAATCTTTTTCTTTTCTTATAGCTGGAGATCACATGTGGGTTTAGGGGCTATACATATCAATTACTGCTTGAAAGAAAAATTAGAAACATGAAATTTCTCCTGTTTTCAGAGATGAGAACAGGAATTAAAAGAGGAAATATTAATGATTGGAGAAAATTGTAAAAAATTTTCTTTCCACTCTTAGTGATGAATCCAGACATAACTTGATTCAGGGACTCCCTTTCCTCTCTCCTCTGCCAGATGTAATTTCTCCTTTCTCCATCCATCAGAACTCTCTGCATTTCTCAGGTGCAGTGTACAGTTTCTGATTTATTAGTCACTTCATTTGCTTTTGTTTTCTGGTGCTCTGAATGAGAATTGCGGTGGTTTGCTACATATTCCTCTTTCTGCACAGTGGACTTTGACTCGAAAAAGAAGAAGAGACTGAATCTGGGAAAAGTCCCAGAAGCCATGAGCTTGAGCATGACAGTCACGGCCTCTCAGACAAAGAGTCCTGAACTAACTAGGAAAACAAACTATGTTCAATGCAGCCCCATATCATTGTACTTCATAGAGATCAACAAACAGCAGCACAGCCTGGGCCTGAAGCCCACTTACCTCTCCTGAAAGCTCTCCAGGAATCTCACCCTGGGGAGGGTTAATAAGTTACATATTCACAGCAAAAAGATACAAGCTCTGATAGAGTGGGATGAGGCACTTCACCGCTCTGCTGGCATTGATGCACGTGGCACAGATAAGGCTTGGCAGCAGCTTCCCACTCACGATGGCTCCATCGAACAGAGGTCCAAAGAACGGAACCTGGGATTCATAACAGAAAAACTATGTTCAGAACCAGGCTTGGCTTTATTTTGCTAGATACATTTCCACCATGTGGGCAAACCACAGTGTTCATGGATGTCTTTCTTTTCTCTTCCTTTCCCCCCATTCGAATTTCATTAATTCTACTCATTAACATGGAGGTTGTTGGCTCAGTGAGATTTGGGACTGGAGCTGGCTAGTAACTCTTATATACGCGTACAATTTCTCTTGATTTTTCACAATATTATATGATAGACCTTTGTGAAGAACACACACATAAAATCTCTGCTATAAGCTAACTCAAAGTTTATTACAGATTTCAGAAAACAAACAGTTAAACACATACCATATATGATGTGTAAAATAGATGATGATGCAGAGAAGAGCAAAGGGCTTTTGGGTAGATGTGTGTCTCCAATTACATCACAATGAGAGGGAAGGCTTTAATGGAAATGTTTCATTAAAAGTCTATAGGAGTTGGAAGAATGAACCAGGATCTATGAGGACAATGGATGGAAGAATATTCCATGAAGAACAGCAGGTGTCTAGCTTGTATTAGGAATAGGACTAGTGTGTTTAAGCAAAGGCAGGAGAGTCACAGTTGCCAGAGCCAAATTGTAGAAGGAAGACCAAAAGGAAGAGAAGTGGGGCAGGAAACAAGAAGAACTTTGTAGAAAATTGTAAAACTCTCAATTTCTACTCCAAGGAAGTCAGAAACCTTCTAAAAGGTTTTAGGGAAGTGGAAAACAACATCTATTAAATGAGAAAAGTAAGATGATCATTTCAGAAAATAGCTTTAAAATAAGTGTTTCATGCCAGGCAGTGATGGCCCAGTTCTTTAGGAGGCAGAGGCAGGCGGATCTCTGTGAGTTCGAGGTCAGCCTGATCTACAGACTGAGTTCCAGGATAGGCTCCAAGCCTACACAGATAAACCCTGACTCAAAAAAAAAAAAAAAAAAAAAAAACCAAACAAACAAATAAGTGTTTCACTAAATTCAAATTCTATTTATAAAAATTTCTTAGCTATTAAATAAAAAGGAACTTCATTAAAAGTATTGTTGGACATTTGAGTATCTTCACTCTTGTGGCCTGCTGCTAGTACATTCTGTCCTGTTTTATTGTTTTGTGTAGCAGGACAAACCCCTTCACACACACCCCCCCAAACCAAAAACAAAAAACAGTTTGCACTAAGCATATACTAAACTATGGCAGTAGTGAAACAATGGAAAGTGGTATGTGAAAGTCAATGAGAAGAGCACTTTCATTAGTGAATTTGCCAGGACAGGAGAAAAAGAAAGGGACGAATATGTAGATATTATGAGTTGGAAGGAAATAATCAAAACTGTTACTATTTTAGTTGTTATATTATTATATAATTATAATAAAGAGTCTGTGGGAAATGATCAAAACATCAACAGATATAGAATGGACTCACATAACCTACTTTTCTACCCTCAGCAACAACGGATAAGAAAATAAAATGATAGCATAATTATCATTATTACATCATAAAATATGAACTACAGAGGTCTTACAGGTTTTACAGAGGAAAAAAAATCACAAAACCTTCAGAGAAGTAATCTAAGTACATGAGATGATCTTTTCTGCCATATCTGACAAGAAGACTCTACATCACCATCACTTCCTCTTATAGACTCATTCATTCAAGGACTCAGCGCAGTGTCTGGTTTAGCCTGAACAGTTGCACAGAGATGACGGAGGCTAAGTGAAGTAGACATTCCTTAGGAAGAATGGGGTAGGGGCTTACTTTAGTTGTAGAAAAGCATGTTGTAAGCTGTGGCATAAGAGATAAGATACTAGAGCAGTTCATACAGGCCCCATGGAGCCAAAGGGAGGAGTCACATCTACTTGGGACCTAAGACCCTGGAGTTGGTGATGTTGACTTGTGAGATGTGGCATATCCCAGGAACCAGTGACCCCCCCCCCCCAAGAGGGTGGTAATTCTTTTGTAATTAGAAAACTGAAGTCTAGGCCCAAGGCATGGCCTTCCACTTTACGCTTGTTCTGTTCTTCTGATGTTTGATTTCTTTGGAGAAGTTAATGCAGTAGTACTCCCGTCCTCTTCAATGGCTACTGGCTACATTGGGCTCTGGGATCACGGTGCACTGCGACAGACAGTAAAGGAGGGTCTGGATGAGCGGCCCTACCCTAGGAAAACAGTGCTGCTGTTGCATGGTGGGGACAGGGAACAGAGAGCTCCGGGCCACCACCTCCTGGTCCCATACTCAATGGTAAAGTTAATGAAAGGCTACATCCAGAGTTCTGATCAGAACTGGATTCCAATGTTTCATCTATCTAAATCTGAACAACTCCCGAGTGTCTCATCCTAGTGTAATGACCAAAGTCTAGGTATTAAGATCTTCCATGACTGTTAACAAACTGGCTTCCCTTACCAGTTAGCTGCAAGATGGAAGATAGCTGTGGAGCTCCTGCCATGTCGTCCGTGACTAAATGATACACAGCTCTGGCTGAGAGGAAACACATGCCTAGAAATTATAGCCCAAGCTAATTTATACCCATCAGGCTGGGGTGCAAAGCAGGACATTTTCACATCCAAGCTTTCTTATTGGCCAACTGTGAACACAAAGGCAGCGTTTTGCTGAGAAGTAGTGATCTCGAAGTTCATGGCACCTGCTATCACTGTCAAGTACATCAGCCGAAGGGTTCAACTAGCTGCAAGGGTGACGACAATATTTGGGACAAATCTCCATTTGATACCTAAGAACTAATCCCCCAAGGACTCAGCTGGAACATTTTGATGCTTTCAACTGGATCTGGCAAATGCTTCACAGACAACCGTGAGCTTTTAGAATCAGACTATTGCTATGCATGGGTTTACTGAGATCCAGTCGATGCTGAAAACTGTCTTCTTTCTTAATCGGCCAGTTATACACCCCAATGCTGCAGGTATCACACTCATAACAAAGATATGGCCATGATTTTTGTGTCTGGCTTTTTGGCACTGACTCTATCATAAGAGAAGACAGTAATGTAATATAAAGGTTTTGGATTTGAGTTTCTGCTGAACATCTCATATTTGTCTTTGGTGTGGCTATAGGATGAATACTCTGAAGCACACACATATGAAAAGTCCTTCATTATTATGCATCTACATACAGAGGCTACAGATGTATTTTTTAGATGATCCTTGAAAGTTAGGTGACCAGAGACCAAAATGGCAAAGTCAGATAGAGAGAACACATTTATTTATTTATTTATTTATTTATTTATTTTGGTTTTTTGAGACAGGGTTTCTCTGTAGCTTTGGTGCCTGTCCCGGAACTAGCTCTTGTAGACCAGGCTGGCCTCGAACTCCCAGAGATCCGCCTGCCTCTGCCNGAGACAGGGTTTCTCTGTAGCTTTGGTGCCTGTCCCGGAACTAGCTCTTGTAGACCAGGCTGGCCTCGAACTCCCAGAGATCCGCCTGCCTCTGCCTCCCGAGAGAACACATTCTTTTATATTAGAGAATACCTGCTTACAGCACAGAATGATGGGGTTAGAGAAATGATCTGAGAGGTCAAGAGCAATTGCCATAATGAGCACAATCGCCATGAAGCAGTAAGTGTACGGGAAGGATCACCGCAACTGTGAATTCGGAAATAACTTTAGATGTAGAGGTTACATAGAGGGGTTATTAAGAGCGTCTGCATGTGTGGGAAAGAGCACGTGGAGAGTTGTCAGTGGCTTGACAGATCGAAACAGCTTTCCCCATAAATGCTTGGTCAGGAATAACTCCCCCCTCAACCCCCAAGAGGCTCCAGCTGCTCTAAAGGAGAATGCTTCAGCTGGACTTCAACAGAGCTTTGAGGGGGTTGATTAGAACAACAAATAACACATTTTCCCACATCTTTCACCAATCTTCTACGCAAACCTAAAACAAAAGGTACTTATAAACAATGATGAAAGGATCACATACCATTTGGAGAATAAAGAAGCATCAATAAGAGAGGTCAAAAGGGTGAAGTAACTTCTAGGCAACCAGAGGCCATGCAGACCAGGGCCTGGTCCTGCTCTAGGGATGCCCAAGGGTAGGGGACATCCAGGACTTGCTGGTACAGTCAAAACACACCTCCTATAAGCACCTTCCTGAGAGCTACGACCCAATGTCTGGTCACAGCTTTCCGCTTGGGGACGTCTACAATCCCCCAGGAATTATGAGTTGGAAGGGAGCAGCTGCACGTCTGTATCTGTACCTGAGATACTGAAGTGAGAGAGTCAATTGAAAAGGTAGTTAGTATTAGAAGACAATTTGTCAGTTGAGGGAAAAATTTTTGTGGAAAGCGCAACATAATATATTTGCAGCAATTTGCACATGTGGTTCAGGGCAAGATGTGGCAAGGGGACACAGGGATGTCTTCAAGAGAATACAGCTCTCTTTAGGGGAAACTCGAAGGACTGCGCTGCTCAGAAAATGGCTTGCTGAATTTGAGCTAGTTTCCTGAAAGACGAGAGAAAACAGATTTAAACTATTTCACAGAGCCTGGGGTAGACACAGTAAATAATTTTCAAGTAATGAGCAAGTCCTGTTGGGAAGCAACATGGCACCTCAATGAATGTCTTATAAAAAAAGCTGACCGCTTAATTTGTCCTACATACATAATGAATGTATGTTTTAATTCATTAAGAGATTGTATTAACCACAGACCAGGAGTTTTAAAAACTCAGGAACATCTGAGTGGATGTCTCCCAACTCTTCTCTATCCCCATTTTACAGAGAAATGATGAAGACTGGAGTGGATTGCTGCTTTTCTCAAGGTCATCAAAGTCAAAATAGTAGTCCAGACTCCACTTGTGACCCAAGAGGCTATGCATGCACGGCCTGCCAGCCCACTTATCTGATGCTGGTCACATAGAATGTTTCCTGTAGTCACTCCTGAAGCTCAGACTACCTCAGCTCTTTGTCCTTTCTGTCCTTCCTGCTTCATACTTGATGAGATCTGGAATACCTGCTTCACTGGGTCCCAGCTCAATTATCATAA